CCGAGGCAATCTCCTTCGATTCCGGTGAACCCGGGCTGAGCTTTCGTCCGTCATATGACGGACATCATCAAAGCTTGAATTTTGTTGTGACGATGTTACCTAGCTCTGATGATGTCCGTCATATGACGGACGAAAACTCAGCCCGGGTTCACCCGAATCGAAGGAGATTGCCTCGGAAACAGCGTCAGCATGAATGTTCCAGTAAAGCCAATCGACAGCTGGTCAAGCAGGAGATTGCCTCGGAAACAGCGTCAGCATGAATGTTCCAGTAAAGCCAATCGACAGCTGGTCAAGAGGACTCAGATTGCCTCGGAAACAGCGTCAGCATGAATCTTCCAGTAAAGCCAATCGACAGCTGGTCAAGAGGAATCTGCGATTGCCTCGGAAACAGCGTCAGCATGAATCTTCCAGTAAAGCCAATCGACAGCTGGTCAAGAGGAATCCACCGTTGCCTCGGAAACAGCGTCAGCATGAATCTTCCAGTAAAGCCAATCGACAGCTGGTCAAGAGGAATCCGCAGTCCTCGGAAACAGCGTCAGCATGAATCTTCCAGTAAAGCCAATCGACAGCTGGTCAAGAGAAATTCGCCGTTGCTCGGAAACAGCGTCAGCATGAATCTTCCAGTAAAGCCAATCGACAGCTGGTCAAGAGGAATCCGCCGTCTTCTATGATGTTCGTCATATGACGGACGAAAGCTTAGCACCTTTTCACCGGAATCGAAGAAGATTACCTCGGAAATGCATGAATCTTCCAGTAAAGCCAATCGACAGCTGGTCAAGAGGAATCCGCCGTCGTCTTCTGGTGGAATCGAACTTCGAATCTCTTCACCCACATGAATCTTCCAGTAAAGCCAATCGACAGCTGGTCAAGAGGAATCCGCCGTCGTCTTCTGGTGGAACCGCCTTGCTCTGATGATTTTCGCCATATGATGGACGAAAGCTTAGCACCTTTTCACCTGAATCGAAGGAGATTATCTCGGAAATAGCGTCACCGGATGACGGACGAAAGCTTAGCACGTTTTCACCAGAATCGAAGGAGATTGCCTCAGAAACAGCGTCAGCACAAATCTTCCAGTAAAGCCAATCGACAGCTGGTCAAGAGGAATCCGCCGTCGTCTTCTGGTGGAACCGACCTCCGACGCACGAAACTAAGCAAGTTTGCACCGGAATCGAAGAAGATTACCTCGGAAACAGCGTCAGCATGAATCTGCCCGATGTCCGTCATATGACGGACGAAAGCTTAGCACCTTTTCACCGGAATCGAGGGAGATTGCCTCGAAAACCGCGTCAGCATGAATCTTCCAGTAAAGCCAGCACGGGTTCACCGGAATCGAAGGAGATTGCCTCGGAAACAGCGTCAGCATGAATCTTCCAGTAAAGTCGTTTTTACCGGAACCGAAGGAGATTGCCTCGGAAACAGCGTCAGCATGAATCTTCCAGTAAAGCCAATCAGAAGCTGGTCAAGAGGAATTGTCGTCTTCTGGTGGAACCGACCTTCGAATCTCTTCACCAAACACTTCTACTCGAAATGGAAGTAAGCCCTATAATCTTTTTCTCTGTTCCTTATTATTTCTTCTACTTAGGAATTTAAACCACTTTAGATTCAGAATATTTTTAAGATTTAACTGAAAACATGTTGCAATATAAAAAATTTGATTTCTTCCTTTTTGTTTGTAATACGACCAGTCAAGTAAGAAGAATCATCATTAATTTCTAGAATAGTTATCTTTTTGAAGTCAGGAATAAAATTAGAATACACTTTGCACCAAATGGTTTGTGTATTCCATTGATCATCCAATGAGATATCTTAGCGATATGAGGTCATTTCTGCCTAGCATCTTGTCGATCGACATATTTTTAACAATACATTATTTTTTAGTCCT